AGGCTAAGCTACCATAAAGATCGATAATTGTATCAATGCCCAGACACCCCTCACCGTTAAATCAAAAAAATAAAAATAAATAATTATACCAATGCACCTACGCAAGAACTGAACCACCGGTCTAAACGCTGCCACTAAGTCCATTTGTGCCCATGAGGAGTTGGGCCTGTCGTAAATGGACAGTGAGGGAAAACCAAGGCCCAATAACAGTTATAGAACCTTTCTCTTTTTTTTTTTTTGCTAGTGTAAATTGAGATACATGGATAAGAAAGACTCCTAGAACTAACTATACTGTAATATTAGGAAAAGGAGATAGGCCTGCCCTTTCTTGTTCCCCAGTCTCTCTTTCTTGAAGCACTATGTTGGTTACTGCGTGTGGGAGTTGTGGTGGCAGTATTGGACCTTCACGCTTGGTGGCTAATCCCCACTTTGCAAGAGCATATGCGGCTTCATTTGCTTCCCTATATACATGCGACAAGCTCCATCCAGATTGTTGATTCAGCAAGTGCTTTATGTCCTTGATGATTGTTTCCATAGTCCAAGGGGTTCTATAATGAGGAAGTGTTGCTGCAAAGATCACTGTCTGCGAGTCCCCTTCCATATTTACATAGTTCCACCCCTTGGTTTGTGCCCATAGTGCTGCTTCTCTAATTACTAGAGCTTCTGCAATTAATGGATTGTCATCCTTAACTGATTTTACCATTGCCTCCACCACTAGTCCTTGTTTGTTCCTTGCTATAGCTGATATGCACGCCTCCTCTTTCCCAATAGTTGTATCCGTGTTGATTTTAATTGATCCTTCTTGTGGTTTCAACCATCCACATTGGGCATGTGCCCTTTGCTAATTTCTTTGTGGAACCAGGCTCTTCTTGATTTGTACCTTGCAAGTGTTCATTAAAGGCCTTGGATACATCTTGAAGGATCGCGGTTGGGTCAGCCTTAACTCCTTTATAACATATCTTATTCCTTCAGCTCCAAATTGTTGTCATTAAGGTTGCTACAAAGAGGAATAACAGGCAATAATGGGGACTGCTTGGGCCAAAGACAAGAGTTGGGTTGAGAATATTGTGCATCCAATCTTTCATTTCAAATTGAGAGTATGCTACAGTTCTGAATCCCCATTTATGATACCAAATTTGTCGGCTTATATCGCATGTGAATAAGATGTGGGTTTCTTACTTAATAACCTATTTGCATATGGGGCACAATGGGTCTGGTATTGGGAATCTAGCAGCCAAAATGGATTTAGTAGGAAGACTTTCAATTGTTGCTCTCCAAATCATCATTTTGAGCCTTGAGTGAATATGGGATTTCCATAACTTCATCCAGTCTGAGGTCCTTAGATAGCAACTGTTTTCTTCATGTGCAGATCTTTGCAAGGAGTAGGCAGATTTGGTGGAAAATTCACCTAATGATGCATGGATCTAGGTCAAGTGATCCTCCGCAGGATATAATGGTAGCTTATATCAAGGATTGCTCGAACAGTCCTGGGGCAGAACATGTTTTGTAGCAGTTCAACATTCCAAGTGTTATTTCCTTGATTGATGAGTTCATCAACAGTATTTGGCAAAGGATAGATGTCTTGAATCAGCAGAGGCTTGAATTGTGGACGGTTAGGGATCCAAGGGTCTGTCCATATATTAATTTTGTGGCCCTTCTCAACAATGTAGCATGTTTCTTTCTCAATGGTTGTTTTGGAATGTAAGATATGTTTCCAGATGGTTGAGTCAGTTGGTTGTTTCTCAACATGAAAAAATGAGTGTCTTGAACAATACTTTCTCTCCAACTGGGAGGTCCACAACTTGTGCTTTTGTGAGATCATCTGCAAGCCCAATTTAGCCATAAGAGCTACATTTATGTCTTGCATTTTCTTGAACCCCAAGCCTCCAAGTGATTTTGGTCTGCATAAGTAGTCTCATGACTTGATGCACAACAACTTTTTGTCTTCTGTTTGCCCCCATCAAAAGGTTTTGATCATCTTATCCATGGACTCACAAGTAGACTTTGGGATAAGGAAAGATTGCATGGCATAGGTTGGAAATGTCATAGCAGTTGACTTGATCAAGGTGGCTCTTTCAGTATAACATAGTAGCCTTGCTTTCCAGCCTTGGAGTTTTTTGTCAAGTTTTTCAATGATTGGCTGGAAGGATAGTTTCCTAGACCTTCCCATTTTCAATGGAAAGCCCAAATACTTGGCTCCATTATTGCCCTTCTTCAGCTACAGAATGGTCTTGACTGCTCTGATGGATTGTCTAGTTGCATTGGGGATGTAAAAAATTGTGGATTTATTCTTGTTGATTAGCTGCCCTGACCAATTTTTGAAAATTGAAAGACATTTTGAGATGGATTCAGCTTCCTTTCTGTCTATTCTACCAAAAATTAAGAGATCATCAGCAAACATTAAGTGTGTGAGTGGTTCACAGTTTCGGGCAATTTTGATGCCTTTAAGATGCCTATGATGGACTCCTTGACCAGCAACCTTGAAAGTACTTCAATGCATATAATAAAAAGGAAAGAGGATATAGGATCTCCTTGCCTTAGACCCCTCTGGCTCCTAAAATTCCAAATGAGACCACCATTAACCATCACTGAAAAAACTGGGGTAGAAATGCATTGTTCAATTAGCTATATGAATTGCGTTGGAAAACCAGCTAAATGCAAAATCTTGAACAAGAATGGCCATTCAATTCTGTCAAAAGTTTTAGCCATGTCAATTTTCAGAATCATTAGGGCCCCTTTCCCTTTTTTCTTTTTTAATTGGTGTGTTATTTCTTGGGCAAGGACAAGATTTTCAGAAATGATTTTTCCAGGTATGAAGGTTGTTTGGGTTGGTGTAATGAACTGATCAAGGTATGGTCTAATTTTGTTTGCAAGGATTTTGGATATAACTTTGTAAGGGACATTGCATAGATTGATTGGCCTGAAATGATGGCTAGTACTAGGGTTAGGAGACTTCGGGATAAGGCAAATGTTAGTTTTATTCAACTCCCTTAGCATTTGCCCCCCACCCCGCGCAAAAAAACTTCTTACTATATCAATGAGATCATTTCCAATCACATGCCAATAGATCTTGTAAAAGATAGCAGACATACCATCAGGTCCTGGGCTTTTGAGTGAAGGCATAGCAAACAAAGGGGCTTTGATTTCCTCTGGGGTAGGAATTGAACAAAGATGGGGGTGATCATCGAGTTTAACTATGTGTGTGATTAGTTGTTCTAGGTCATTTGGGAATTGAGGATCAACAGAAGTAAATAGATCTCAAAAATATACTGAAAAAAATATTACCAATGTCTTCCCTTTCTGTGATCCAATTGCCTTCTTGTGTCTTAACGCAGTCAATGGAGTTCCTCCGCTCTCTAATAACTGTGGAATTATGGAAGAACTTTGTACAGGCATCACCTTCTTTGAGCCACTGGATTCTTGATATTTGCCTCCACAAGTCTTCTTTTCTCTTAAACTGTTTGGCTAGCTCAGCTGCAAGGATTCTTTCTTCCATCAAATTATCTGGAGTTGGGTCAAGCTGTTGCAGGGTATTTATT